TGGTATAGAAAGTTATATAACATAGAAGACACGGATACAAAATTAATTGTATAAAAATATATGTTACGTTTATTCTTTTGTACAGTATTTTGTATATCTATTGGAAGGCTGGAGCGCTTATTGGTCGCCATTGGTATATCATTCGGGGAGATATCACCTGGAAGCAATATTCTACGAGAGTATTTTGCGTGAGGAACGTGTAAACGCAATATTTTACCAGCATCGATACGTACCTGAACAACTACTACGCTAGGCGGACTTGCCCTTAAGCGACGCCTTCCATCGTTATTGTATTGTTAGAACAGACAGCTAGCCAATACGTACACGCGGTACCGTCATCGTATACGCTACGTTATGCCACACCAGTTTCTCGAACGATAAGAGAATGCAACGTTTCCCTCTGGCGGGCCGGACAGCGTGGGCCGTCCTGCCTCCGAACAATCAAATTTACTGCGAGCGCAGAGGATTGTTCCTGTTATTTCAGCCCACTCCTGCGCGAGCATCCGCCAATCAATTTCTTCTTTCGTTAATCCTTTTAAAAATTCTTTTTATGCGTGTTGGACATGCAAGATTTCTTTTTGCGTCAGACAGGATCTCTATAATTTCTTTGTTCTTGATAAAAATAATTAATACCGTTTTCACGGAAAAAAAGTAAGAGTTGCAATCTAGGTAGAATGCAAAATCATATAATAAGATCAAGATGGCTTCAAGTAGAAATTATTTTAGGAAAAATCATAATGATATCACCCAATACACTTTCGACGATAATTTTGTGATGAATTCTTAACAATGAGCGTTATGATTTTTCCTAAAATAACTTTTACTTAATGTCATCTTGATTTTATTATGATTTTGTATTATTCTATCTAAGAGAATATTAAGATCATGGAATATCATGGAAGACATTTTACGATCGATATATTGTCACCAAGCGCTGAGGAAGTAACTTCCTCATTTCCTTTCTTTTTTTCGGCCTACACCTGGTGTGAGGCTTATCAAGCGCATGACGGGGACCACCCACGGATATGTGTATCGAGACCCAGGTGGAACCATTAGAGCGAAAGATCGGCTCGTATATACCAGACCGCTAACATCCGTCGGTTGGTGTATCAAAAAGTCATACACCGTCAAGCCGTCAAATTTCGTTCTATACAATATATTTTTTATATAACTCTCCGTCTATTCTCTGGGTGTACTTTGCGTAAAAGGATTGAGGGGTACGCTGCATGATATTGCGCCGACAATACGCTGCGCTCCTCCCTCTTCCCCCCCCCCCGCCCCCCATAAAGAACATTAAATTTTCACGGTTTGTGAACTTATTTCTCTGCTCCCAGGGTGCCCCTCGAAGACGCGTGCCAAGTTCGAATGAGGCTTTTAATTAACTCGAGCACATGTCACCCGCGCGCATGTCGACTTCCTGCGGTTAAGAACACTCGGCAAAATGCTAAATTAGTGCAGGATAGGATGAGATAGGAAGTAGGACAGACAAAAATGGAGATCTTATTAACTTACTTCCTTCTCAGCTTTTGTATACAGAACATTACGTAAGAACGCATTATATGTGTTTAAACTTTGTTTCTGATTAACTGAAAACTGTACTTTACTCATTACGTCAAATAACTAATTGATTATTTACACAAGGTGGTTGTGTCATCAAGATCCTCATCGGTTGAATAATTCGAGGAGTCACTGGTCCGTAAAATGACTACCGTGGGCATCGTCGAGAGCGAATGGAAGTTCGTTGGGGACGGCCCCCAGTCAAGGGTTAGCAAAAGTCCGTTACAGTTATTCCTTGAAGTAATCGTGTTCAGTCGAGCACTCGGAAGACGCTAATGAAATGATCGGTAATCGATTGAACGATGGTACACACGTATAAACATTCACGTCCTGTTTTAGGCTCGACACAATCGAAATTTTGTAACGTAATCTTCTCCAAGCAATTTTCTAACGAGCGCAAGCAAAGTACGAATGAGTGCCATCTGGAAATTCTAATTATCTTTCAAACGTTTACCATCTACGAGGCATATGACTCACGAATATTCTTATACGAATATTCCTATATGTAGATGCATCCATATTTATGAGTTACACTTACTATCTATACGTTAGTGAGTCACGTATGATTATATAATATAAAAATAATTGTTAGTTTAAAAATCAAAGCAGAATGCGCAATTAATATATTGTATTAAAATGGAAAGCATAAAGAATGCGAAAAATCAAAGATAAACGAACATTAATGCCCAATGTAGATTGACTTTAATTTCAACTCAAAAGTAAGTTCAACTTACTGTCCGTCTTTTCTAAAGATTAGAAAAAGACGAAGAGTAAGTTGAGTCCGAGATTAAAATTAATCTACATTAGTGAAAATGGGCATTAGAAGTGTTAATCAAAAATATCAGTTTTACATGCAGGATAAGTATAATACTTTTGTGAGAAGATGCAGGTGACCGTTAAGGTACGGTGCCATTGAAAAATGCATTTAGTTATGAAGCTATTATGAATCCGTTGCGATCGTTTTGCGAACGATAACCTTCATTTGTCGTTGTCCATACTATGTATTTGTGTCTCCGAGGGTCGCTCATTTTCCTTAATTGCATGGCGCAATGGTACATTTAATTAGCTTTCTGATTGAGTCGATGAGAACAACAATCGTGTGTAAGAGCAGGATATGATTGCTCCAGGATATTACAGTAGGGGGAACGGTTATTTTATAGAGATACGAGTTTTACACTGCTTATCGTTTGCCGATTGCTAAATAAGTCGGCGTCGACGTCGGCGTGGATTTTTTCCTTTTCGATGTCGATGTTTAATTTATTCAAGCAGGTAGCCCACGTAACCCGCCATGTCCGATACTATTGTTAATTTCACGAGAATCTCAAGAGAATCGCTCCGTAGGATCTGATATGCATACGCTCTTCCTGTATGTAAACTTGGCTTCAATATGTCGCTTCCTTATTTTAAAACTGACACGAACAAATTAAGTTTTTCCAGGAGAAAGAGAAAAACTTTCTTTATCTTGACAGAAAATCATTGACAAAGGATATCGGTAAGAAGAATATATTCCTAAGGGATGAAATGCTATTTTTGTCATTCTTACTTCACGATCCTTAAAAAACTATTTTTTTTAGAATTGTGATGATTTTTTTACAAGTTACACTTTTTCAATGGTGACGATTTTGATGATTTTTTCATAAAGTCAAGTTAATTCACTGTTGATAATTGGTTCACTTAACTCACTCATGTGTATAATTCGAAAAGAACATTTTTGAGTTGTGACATTTGCTAAGTAAGAAAGCGATAT